GATATTTGGGCGCAAACTCGACATCTGTAACGCTGGTGCGCGAGTCGACGAGCGTGGTGCGTCGCACCCAGCGTCGGGTGGGCGCATTTGTTATTGTTGTCCACTTTTCGCCCATCACCTCTTCCCAAACGGAGGCTGTGCGATCAAAGGAGCAGGTAGCTATCACCTGTCCAAATTCGGGATTGGCCCAGGATACACGCCAAATGGAGCCCGAATGCGCTTTCCAGCTGCTCGTTACTGACCATTTGCCCTGATCATCCTCGTCCCATATCTAAAAGAGATGAATTTATAAGTTGAGCGAATTGAGGGGACAAAAGTTTATTTTCTTCTTCACCTTTACAGTCTGATCACTAGAGCATGTAGCCATTCGGCGTCCATAGTAATCGAACACTACATCGTGTATAACATCCTTGTGGTCCGCAATAATTGGCTCTACATCGAACATGTTGTGTGTTTCTTTAATTATCTAGGAAAACAAACAAAAACGCGGCTTTTTCACGCAGCAAATGTTGCAGATGTTTGCTAGCGCTGCCAACTCATTGTAGTTGCATCAGGTTGACAGTACGTGTGGATGTTTTGCAACACTAGTTGCTGCATATCGTTAATCGTTATCGTGAATTGCTCTTAATCTGTATCGGATTCATATTAACGCGTATAAAAACCACTGATAAACGTAAAATATTTATTAAATATGTTCTTAAACATATGTTTAACATACATAGCGCGCAAAGCAAGTTCAGTGCCTAAAGTTTTTAATTAATGTAATGCTTTGAATTAAGCATAACCAAACGAATCACGCGAGCCTCCCACAGGCCACAGAACCCAATTGGACAAAACATATTTACAGTTATAGAAAAGCAAAATTGCTAACAAAAAGAGACGCACTAAACGCAATACAATGGAGAAAAGTAAGTCAATGGCCAGCTGGCGCGTTTAACTAAATGTCCGAGTGCGTAATTAATGTGCGTTTAGTGACTTTTCATACATAAATATGCGCATATGTAAATGCATTAGTTTTTCTAAGTGTTTTTCGTTCTAAGGGGCAAAGCACGGGTTATTCACCTCACTTGCATAAATCAACATTCAAATAACGGCGCTTCTAGCTCTCATTGCATGTGTGTGTGTGCTTGTGTTTGCATTTGTATATTAATTTGTTGTTAATTTAGTGCCTTAAGCGGAATTTGTAGTGCTGGCCAGCATAATTTGTCCAATATGTTTGCGCTCTCAATATTTTTCGGTCCTGCTCTTGCCTTTCCGCGCACTGTCTCGCTCTCGCCGCTCTCACAATTGTTCTCTTTTGGCTCTCACCTCATGGTCTGACCTTGATTTCTATTGGACTCGCATATCGCGCGATGTCCACATGATACTATGTTGGTGTATATGTTTTTGTAAGCGTGTGTATGTGTGAATGTTTGCTGGTGTGTGTCTCGACGGAACTATTGTGGGTGGATTTCAACCGCTTCCCTGAACAGTTGTGGAACCAAAGCCGGCTTCAATTACTTAATAGTTAAATTGTGCTTGCCCGCATTCGTGTGTGTGCGTGTATGTGTGTTTGCATTTTTGTTTGTGTAATTGGAGATGGCATCTCGTACGTTAGTACCATCACGTCATAAAACTGTACAAGCTCGTTCTCTGATAAGAATGCATATATATTGTACATGTATAACTACAAGCGTATAAATCTGTTGAGCCTGAATTTGTTTATAGCATATCAGCAACAGACGTCTGTAGGCCGCGAAACACGCGTCTGCTTACGCTTACTGATAATCCCAATAGCTTTGGACACGCGTCCAGTGTGAATGATTCTGATAAGAATCTTCTTGGTATTCTTCTAGTATTTATTTACTGTTAACCTGGTTACTGTTTATCAAAATATAAATAAAAAAATGACCAAACATAAATAAAGTGTTAATCATAGCCGGCTGTTTCCGTTATTTCTGTTGCTTGATCGCCAACAAAAATTTGAAAAAATCGGAAGATTTTTCGATTCTTATCAGCTTGTGTTTGCCTGACTTTTAAAAAACCTCTGCTAGTTGCGAAAGTTGCGTGTGCTTGTCCGTTTTTGTTTTTGAATTTGACTACACAAACACACATGCACACACACCTAGCACATGCCAATCAGAATCACAAGTTAATCAATTTCTGTTGTTGCTGCTAGTTAAAGTCATTTGTAATCAGCTTTATAGCTGCTGACGTGCGTTGCCCAGTGCAATTCAGTTCAATTTGGGCTGGATATTGTTGTTGTTGTTTTTAGTCATAACCCTGAACGATGTCCAGCGAGCGCATCATCAATGTCAAGCAATAAAGATTAACTTAAAGTTGCGCAACAACAATAACAATAACAACAGCAACAACCTTGACATTGAAAGCCACAGTGCAAGAGAGCTAGAGATAGCGCATCTCTGGCTATCAACACTGTTTGTTATCGATTTATCAAGCTCTGTTATCGCAACTTACGCGCCAAACTCTTGAGCAAATAAACAAAACAAAAAGCTTATAATAACAATCACGAAAATAAAAGAGTAAATAAATAAAATGCTGTTGCTTGCAGCATTTTCTGTGCAGTCAGCAACATGTTGGCTGCAGCTGGTACGACCAAAGCATTTACCATACAATACATGCTCTAGCTATGCTCGTACACACACACACACTGGCATACACCTGCCGACGCACTCTTTCCAGTTCAACATGCTTGAGCATGTAGTTGCGTCGACTGCGCTGCCCACTGGTCAGCAACAGCAGCACCAGTGATCGATAGTGTGCGTCTGGCTCAGCAGTCAGTCGCATTCCAAACGTCGCTCAGTGTGGTTCAGTAAGGAGCAGCAGCTCGTGCGTGACTTGTTGCTTTTACTCTGTGTGTGCCGCGCGCCTTAAAGAAAGCAAGCAAACGGAAGGGACAAATGTTATATATTGCCCAATAACTGAACAAGTTTTGGTAAAACATATAATAATCATATAAATATACATATATATATATATATATATATATGTAAAAAACTGAAATGTTTAACGTGTGTGTTTTGTGAACCAAAAAATATTGGAAAATAAAAAAAAATAAAATAAAAGTTTAAAATGCGATAAAAAGATTATATAATTTTAGATTAAATAAATATAAATTAAAATTTATAAATACTTGCAAGTCCCCTTTGAAATTTAAAACAATTAAATTTCTATTTAAAGTTTTTATGTATGAAAACTTAAATGTCCTTTTGCAAATTTAGTTAGAATTAATCAAATTTAGATTCAAGTTTTAAGAAACATTATCAATAACAATAACTCAAATTACCTAACAATTAAATTTGATCTTACACAATTATGGATTACACTGGAAAGCATCTAATTGGAATTGTCGTATATGTCCAATTGGTTGAGCGTATTTCTCTAGGTTTTCTTTTCGCTTTTTGTACACACCCTGGCATACTTACATATTGTAATGGTTAAAGCATTGACCTCTTCTATATTCACAAAGTCGCATTTGCATAGTCACAAAAACAAAAGCAAAATAAAAAAAATAAAAAAATCACTCGCTGGCTATTTTTCATGTCTTATACTCGTTCGAAATGTGTTTAAGAGTGTATTGGTTGTATTGCTAGGAAAAATTTGTTTATTCTACTTGTTTTATAGCTAACAAATTGTTTAGTATTTGACTAATAACCTCTTAACCTATTGACCTGATTGAACCAAAACTATATATCTATTATTTTAATTATATTTATAATAATTAAATTAAAATTCTATATATATTCTATATTATAGGGCTAGGATATTCCAAGTTATAATTTGTTAATTTGAGCGAGTATTGTGCAGTCAGTTATGTAGACTGTTTTTAAACTTTTATTTTTTTTATTTGTTTCTGTTTTTGGTTTAAATTCAAATGCGCAGTAAACAGTAGAAGAAAAAAAATGTTAAGTAAAATAATTTTTTTATACACTTTGATAAGGTAAAAAAGGGCAAAACTACAAAAGGTTTTATTAAGCGAATAATAAAAGTTTTATAGAGAAATACATAGAAGTAAAATTTATAATAATTTAGCTGGTCTAGTGAAGGCTGTACTTACGAAAACTATCAAAAAGAGCTTCTACAATATTTAAATTATATATGCTGCAGCTTATCAGTTATATATATAAGTTATATATATATATATATTATACGTATATAATATTTGTTACATAATTCTTAACAAATTCATAATGCACAACACAGTTCACTATATATTGTTTGTTACTGTATCAAATTGTATTTTCCAGTTAATAGTTTTGTTAACAAATCGCTTAAAAAACTTGTGAAAGTTCTTAAGTTCCCAATTATTTGTTATGAAACAAAATGCTCAAATTTCTTATATAAGTCTCAGCTGATAAGAGCATTTGAGATTCGTTACAAAACGAATTTGTGTATTATGTTTCGCTCAAATCGAAAACTAGTTTAAAATAAACGTTTTTTTTTATCTATTTTGGGTTTCACACACAAATTCGTTAAACATATTCAAAAATTATTGATGACTTTAACCTCTTGAACTCGTTTGATCAGTTGCCCTACATATATATATATATAAATAAAAAAAATGAAAACACAACGAAACAAATGTATAAAACCATTATAGGATATTATCAACATATATTGTTTCTGTTTTTGTAGTGTTTAATTGAATGTAGCCGATGCTTATCGCATTTTTAATCACTCTGGCGTTTATTGCATTTCTCTTGAATTTGCTCTTTGCGCGGCAAAGAGAAATAACAACACCAATTCCAACTAACAACAGCAACAACGACAACAAGAATAGTAAGCACCATTTTGTTAACCAATTAAAGCTTCACTTGCGGTACACGTCTCTGCCTAACACAAACACTTAAACTTGAGCTTTTCAACTTTGATTAACTGTTTATCACTCTCTCTTTCTCTCTCCCTCTCGTACACAGACAACTCCAGTGTTATTGCGGCGACAGCAACAACGTCGACAACAGCAAAGGGCAGCGAGCAACAACAACAACAGCAGCAGCAACAACAACAGCAGCATCAGCCGCAGCAAAAGCAACGTTTTCCCAAGCCTTGCATTAAAAAAGTGAAATTCTCTAGCGAGAGCCTCAAAGCGGACGTTGATGGCCTGTGCGAGCAGTTGAAGGAGAGCAGCGTTTTTAACGAATTGAACAATTTTCATATTAACAATATTAATAACAATAACAACGACATTGACAACAAATACAATAACAAGATGAGCGAACAGGAGTCAACGACAAGCGGCGAAACGACACAAGCCACTCCCACAGATGGCGATCGTCCAAGTTTTTTGGTAATCATCTTAAACCAAAATCAAATGAAGTTTAATTATTTAACAACGGTTCTTTTCTTGTGTGTGACAGGTAGGTGATGAAATCGATGAGAAGGAGGCAATTGAAGCGGGTGAAGCCGGCGATCAGTTTCCGCAGAAAATGCAAAGCGATATTTGTCAAAATGGCGACATAGCAGAGCGACGCAAGCGTCTGAGGTTAGTTACCAAAAAAAAAAAAAAAACAATAAGAATAAGAATAAGAATTATTTACTATGCTCTCCATGGCAAACAAATGGAGCGAGTTTCACAGAAAGAGATGGCAATAGAGCAATAACAACGTGCCGCAATTTAAGAGAGCGTCTCTTTAATTTTTAAATTGCGGCATCTTTTTAAGAGCATAACAGTCAGCTGTGCAGCAGCACTTCAGAGTAAAAAGCTACAGCTGCAGGTGGTAGTTAAAGAGAATTATTATTGTTTGCGATTTTTTCATCTTTTTCTTTCATTCATAATAACAAACAAAGCGGCGGTGCTGTCGATGAGAGTTAAACAATTTATCCAAATACTCTTTTAGCTTTTGCTTCCTCTGCGTCAGCTCATTCGCTCACTCTCGCTCTCGCAGAGGCCATGTGTCGAATGAGTAACGTCATTGCCACCGGGTCGTTTGTGCTGTCGGCATTGCCTTTGCTGCCAGTTTGTAAGCACTTGCCGTGCCCGTCGGTCGCCATAGCATATTAAGCAGCGCGTTGGCCAAAACACAATTCTCGCGTGTGATTTTTTTTTTCTTTTTCGATATATCTTCTTCTTTACCACTGACCCGCTGGCACATTAGTTTTAGTGATTATTCATAGCGGTGAAAGTCGCACTGCACGTTGGTGTTGATTAGTCATAATTCACTTGCATAATATATATATAGAAATATAACAATATATTAAATTAGGCGGTAAACTCGAGTAGAGTAGAGCGTTGTAAACTTTGGACTTGAATGATCTTGGCCCTAATTGCGTTTGCTAAGATGTTAAAGCGACGCGCCAGCAAACGTTTTGTGCTTGTGGAAACAGGTGAAGAACTGTTGCCAACAACAACGGACAACAACAATGCATCAAGTGCTATACCCAATATTGTGGCAATTGATCTGTGCCACAACAACAACGGCAGCGGCAGCAGCATCGATGACAACCACATGCACAGCAACAACAACAACAATGCGTCAACATCTTTATTAGGCGTGACAACTGCCGGCACCATAAAGTAAATCAGCTCTAAACTATTTTCATATACAAATCACGCATAATTATTTTTATAGCAACAAAATAATTGACTTGCATATGCCAAACGCGTCCTCCATTTGCCAAATATATAGAGTGCGATAGCGCAGACTGAGAGAGTGAGTGAGGCCACGAGCTTGTGAACAAAGTAAACATTGTTGAAAGCTTTACAAAATGCGGCATTACAAAAATAAAAACTTTTTCTTCCTCTCATGATTTGGTAGAAAACCGGTTTGCCAAAATGCCGTTTAAAATTCCATTTGCTGTTGCTTCAACTCCTCCCGCTCTCTTTCTCACACTCTTAAACTTATCTAACATTGACCCACAGCAAGCGTCAATTTAACACTATGCTACAAAATTGTGCAGACGGAGTTAAACGATTGTTTTTTTTGTTTCTTTGTTTTAAATGAAACTTTGCAAATATTTTTTTACTCATTAGTTAGCTTTATCTATACGGCCACACAAATGATGAGCAAAATAATGGCTCATCCTTACAAAGGATATATTAGTTTTCCAATAAAATATGTTGTGCACTGTAGTAAATATATACATATGTATGCAAGCTATAAGCAAGGCTGGTGTGTAACATTTTCGAACTTAATGTGAAGTCAGTGATAAAAGAAAGAAAGTTTCTCGGCTAACCCTCGCTTTTGAACTGTAAACAGCTGATTTTAACTTCCGCAGATGTTTTTTCTTATTTTCTTTTAGTAATGATTTGCGAAGGTTAAAGTGTTGCAGTTTTTTTCTTGTGTATTCTAAGTGCGAACTCTCACACCTGTTAGTTAAAAAATATATATATACAATTTTTTTTTAAATTTACAAATATACATATCGAGTTCAATGCTCATTTCGTTTTTGCCTTTGCAGACCCAGCATGTCGCGCACTGGTCTTGGCCAGGATCGCCATCAGGATCGTGACTTTCATATTGCCACCACGGAGGAGTTTGTTAAGCGTTTCGGTGGCAATCGTGTAATCAATCGAGTACTGATTGCCAACAATGGCATTGCGGCTGTTAAGTGCATGCGGTCGATACGTCGCTGGTCCTACGAGATGTTCAAGAACGAGCGAGCGGTACGATTTGTGGTTATGGTCACGCCCGAGGATCTGAAGGCCAATGCCGAATATATTAAGATGGCTGATCATTACGTTCCGGTGCCCGGCGGCTCCAACAACAACAACTATGCGAACGTTGAGCTAATTGTGGATATTGCACTTCGCACACAAGTTCAGGTAAATTTTCTATTTAAGTATCACTTGCTAAAGGTTTCCTCTAAACTTTGTATCGTATGATTTCTATTTACTTGTATGGGCCGTACCCAAAGCCATGTGCTACGTTCGATTTCAATTCTAAACATCTATATTTGTGTGTGTGTCCATATACTTGGGATAGTCGCTATTTGTTTTTTACGAGCACCCACTTCATAGATTACACTGTGCTACATTTAATAATGTTTTAAATTAAAGCTTTAATGGTTTTAAAAAAAAATAGATTAGCTTTTATCAGTTCTACATTAGAAAAAACTTAGATTTTGATTGAAATTATATATATTATATCAAATTTATATATTCGAGTATACTCATGATTTCGAGTATTTTGGAATATTTGTCTTACTAATTAAAGTTTTATGTTTCCAAAAGACTATAACAGCTCTTAAATTATTTAGCACAGGCATAAGACTTAATATTTTTATAGTATCATTCAATTATATACGTCTTAGACTTTATTGCTAAAATATTAAGGTTTATAAATAAGAGCATTTATCACTCTACAATAGAGATAACTGAGTATAATAACAAAAGATAAATAGAAAGATAAATGGGTCCATAAAAAGTATTTTGATCCACAAATTCTCATTTATTATCTTCGAAGAAATGAAGATACCTTTATCTGGTAAAACTAAGACTAAATATACATAGATATATCGTAAAATTTAGGCACCTAAATTAGTAATTCTAATTTATTTAAGTCTTTCCATTTCTCTGATTTCACAAATCCAGTTTGTTTGAATAGGTAAAGCGAGAAAGAGGAAGATATATTAGATCTCTTAGAGGCTGTTTGTGAATTAGTCACAGAAAGAGAAGAGATTGAAATTGAATTACTTAGAGATAATAAGAATACATTCATGTAAGAGAGAGAGAGAGAGAGAGACAGAGCAAAATAACAGAAGAGAGAGATCATACAGCAGAGAGGAGTAACCGAAAAAATGTTAAAGCCAAATAAAAGAGAGTCGTAAAGCAATAGAGTGCGTAGTAAGACTAAAATCAATATTTGCTTTCAAGTAAACGCCCTCCTCCTCGATTCTCATGAATTCAAGTGGGCTTCTCAACTTTGCTTATGGCACTAGTTGCATTTTTTTGTGAGTGTGTGATATTAATTAAATGACGAAGTTGATGTGTGTATAAATATATATATTATAAATATATATAAAATATATGTATATACATATAAAAACAATTGTTTCTTATCTATAGGGCATAAGATAATTATATAGTATTTATATATATGTGTGCATATATATAGTATATATAGGGTACAATATTATCTACTGATATCTAATCATATCTTTATATATTTATACATATGTATATCTATAATTAAATATAAATATATATGTTATTATTAGAATGGTTATTATTATAGACAGTCGAACATGTTTATAGCAGTAAAGTCTATTAAAAGATAATAATAGGCTTAAATATTTGTATGAATAAAAGCACAGAAGGTCTTTTATACAATCTATCCATATGTATTACGAAGCTCCGACGTCACAATTGATTTAATGGCCGTCATAAGCCAGCGTTATCAACCATCTAAACTAGACACTCACACACTTAATTCAATTAGTAATTTATTGGCATTTTACTAATAAAGAGAAACTGTTTATATTCATTTTTCCACAGGCCGTGTGGGCGGGCTGGGGACATGCATCGGAGAATCCCAAATTGCCGGAACTGTTGCACAAGGAGGGCCTCGTGTTCCTTGGACCGCCAGAACGTGCGATGTGGGCGTTGGGCGATAAGGTGGCTTCATCGATTGTGGCCCAAACAGCTGATATACCCACTTTGCCATGGTCTGGCTCGGATCTGAAGGCTCAATACAGTGGCAAAAAGATTAAAATTTCCAGTGAACTCTTTGCTCGTGGCTGCGTCACCAATGTGGAACAGGGGCTGGCAGCTGTGGCCAAGATTGGTAAAAGATTAACATTGGACTTTCATGTGGATAAACTAAACTAAGCTTCTGTCTTATTAGGCTTTCCTGTTATGATTAAGGCTTCGGAGGGCGGTGGCGGCAAAGGCATTCGCCGAGTGGACACCGCCGAGGAGTTTCCCGGTCTATTCCGTCAGGTGCAGGCCGAGGTGCCCGGCTCGCCCATCTTTGTCATGAAACTGGCAAGCGGTGCACGTCATTTGGAAGTTCAGTTGCTAGCGGATCAATTTGGCAATGCCATCAGTTTATTCGGGCGTGATTGTTCCATACAGCGACGTCATCAGAAGATCATTGAGGAAGCACCCGCTATCGTGGCACAGCCAGAGGTCTTTGAGGACATGGAGAAGGCGGCAGTGCGCCTGGCCAAGATGGTTGGCTATGTCAGCGCCGGCACGGTTGAATATCTGTACGATCCCGAGGGTAGATATTTCTTCCTTGAGCTCAATCCGCGTCTGCAGGTGGAGCATCCTTGCACGGAAATGGTAGCCGATGTCAATTTGCCCGCCTGTCAGCTACAAATTGGAATGGGCATACCTCTGTATCGATTGAAGGATATACGTTTGCTCTATGGCGAATCGCCGTGGGGTTCATCCGTAATTGATTTTGAGAATCCACCAAATAAGCCACGTCCTTCGGGCCACGTCATTGCCGCACGCATCACCTCCGAGAATCCCGATGAAGGTTTCAAGCCCAGTTCCGGCACCGTGCAGGAGCTCAACTTCCGTTCCAGCAAGAATGTCTGGGGCTACTTCAGTGTGGCTGCATCAGGTGGCTTGCACGAATTTGCGGATTCACAATTCGGACATTGCTTCTCCTGGGGCGAAAATCGTCAGCAGGCACGTGAGAATCTGGTAATTGCCCTCAAGGAGTTATCCATTCGCGGTGATTTCCGTACAACAGTTGAATATCTGATTACGCTGCTTGAAACGAATCGTTTCCTTGACAATAGCATAGACACCGCCTGGCTGGATGCGTTGATTGCGGAGCGTGTCCAATCCGAGAAGCCGGATATCATTCTTGGTGTCATGTGTGGTGCGCTGCACATTGCAGATCGTCAGATAACTCAGGCATTCTCCAGTTTCCAGACCTCATTAGAAAAGGGTCAAATCCAGGCGGCCAACACGTTGACCAATGTGGTGGATGTGGAGTTGATCAACGGCGGCTTACGCTACAAAGTGCAAGCAGCCAAAAGTGGACACAATTCATATTTTCTGCTCATGAACAATTCGTTCAAGGAGATTGAAGTTCATAGGCTGTCGGACAGTGGTCTGCTCATCTCGTTTGAGGGCGCTTCGTATACCACCTATATGAGAGAGGAAGTGGATCGTTACCGCATCGTCATTGGCAATCAAACGTGCGTCTTTGAGAAGGAGAACGATCCTTCTCTGCTGCGCAGTCCCTCGACTGGTAAGCTGATCAATTTGATTGTCGAGGATGGCGCACATGTAACCAAGGGACAGGCATTCGCTGAGATCGAAGTAATGAAAATGGTAATGACCCTGACCTCCCAGGAGGCAGGCACTGTGACCTTTGTGCGTCGCCCTGGCGCTGTGCTCGATGCTGGCTCACTGCTTGGTCATTTGGAATTGGATGATCCGTCGCTGGTGACCAAAGCCCAGCCCTGCAAGAGCCAATTCCCTCAGCCAGAGAATGCCCCAGTGCCCGAGAAATTGAATCGTGTGCACAACACCTACAAAAGCATTCTGGAGAACACGCTGGCTGGCTACTGTCTGCCAGAGCCCTACAATGCACAGCGACTGCGCGACATAATTGAGAAATTCATGCAGAGTTTGCGTGATCCTTCGCTGCCGTTGCTCGAACTGCAGGAGGTGATTGCCTCAATATCGGGACGCATACCCATATCCGTGGAGAAGAAGATTCGTAAGCTGATGACGCTCTACGAACGCAACATCACGAGCGTCTTAGCTCAATTTCCTTCGCAGCAAATAGCGAGTGTGATCGATAGCCATGCAGCTACACTGCAGAAGCGAGCAGATCGTGATGTCTTCTTCCTGACCACTCAGAGCATTGTGCAGCTGGTGCAACGCTACAGGAATGGCATCCGAGGACGCATGAAGGCCGCCGTCCATGAGCTGCTGCGTCAATATTACGATGTGGAGTCACAGTTCCAGCATGGGCACTACGACAAGTGTGTGGGACTAGTGCGTGAGCACAACAAAGATGATATGTTGACTGTGGTCAATACGATATTCTCGCACTCGCAGGTGGCCAAGAAGAACCTTTTGGTCACGCTGCTCATCGATCACCTGTGGGCCAATGAGCCAGGCCTAACCGACGAACTGGCCAACACACTGAGTGAATTGACCTCTCTCAATCGAGCGGAACATTCACGTGTGGCCTTACGTTCTCGCCAGGTGCTCATTGCTGCCCATCAGCCGGCATATGAGCTGCGCCACAATCAAATGGAATCCATTTTCCTGTCGGCTGTCGATATGTACGGTCATGATTTCCATCCAGAGAACTTGCAACGTTTGATACTGTCAGAGACATCCATCTTTGACATACTTCATGACTTCTTCTACCACTCCAATCGAGCTGTCTGCAATGCCGCCCTCGAGGTCTATGTGAGACGTGCCTATACCTCCTATGAGCTGACCTGTCTACAGCACTTGGAGCTCTCCGGTGGATTGCCACTGGTGCATTTCCAATTTCTGTTGCCAACAGCGCATCCGAATCGCTTGTTCTCGCGCATGAGCTCACCTGAGGGTCTGGATCAGGCAGCTGCCGAAACGATGGGCAGTTCCTTTGTGCGCACAGGTGCTATAGCAGCGTTCGATTCCTTCGAGCACTTCTCCATGTACTCGGATGAGATACTCGATCTGCTGGAGGACTTTGTTTCGCCAGCGCTGGTCAGTGCCAAGGTCTTGGAGGCTGTCGAGGCTGTGGACTCCATTTCGGATAGTCGTCATAGTACATCGATTAATGTCTCCCTCTCGGATCCCATCACGCGTGCGAATGCTGCCGAAGAGGCTAAATCCACGGAGCCCATTCACATCATAAGTGTGGCAGTGAGGGAGACTGGTGAAATGGATGATGTGCAAATGTCCCAGATCTTTGGCAACTATTGCAAGGAGCACAACGATGAGCTGTATCAGAGACGCATACGCCGCATCACATTTGCCGCGCTCAAGAAACGTCAGTTCCCCAAATTCTTTACGTATCGGGCACGCGACAACTTTGAGGAGGATCGCATCTATAGGCATTTGGAGCCAGCATCTGCTTTCCATTTGGAGTTGAATCGCATGAAGACCTACGACCTGGAGGCATTGCCCACGGCTAACCAGAAAATGCATTTGTATTTGGGCAGAGCTAAGGTATCGAAGGGTCAGGAGGTCACCGACTATCGTTTCTTCATTCGTTCCATTATCCGTCACTCCGATTTGATAACCAAAGAAGCCTCATTTGAGTATCTACAAAATGAGGGTGAACGTGTGCTGTTGGAGGCAATGGATGAACTGGAGGTTGCCTTCTCGCATCCGCATGCCAAGCGCACCGATTGCAATCATATTTTCCTTAACTTTGTGCCCACTGTCATCATGGATCCAGCGAAAATCGAAGAGTCTGTCACTAAGATGATCATGCGTTATGGTCCACGTTTGTGGAAACTGCGTGTGTTGCAAGCTGAGCTTAAGATGGTCATCCGCCAGTCACCACAATCTCCCACCCAAGCCGTGCGTCTGTGCATTGCCAACGATTCAGGATACTTCCTGGACATCTCCATGTACACGGAGCAAACTGAACCCGAAACGGGCATCGTAAGTTGATATAGACATAAACGATTTAGTTGATCATGAATAACCATTGCTCACCTTTGCTCTACAGATCAAATTCCATGCCTATGGCGATAAGCAGGGCTCACTGCATGGCCATCCCATTTCCACGCCCTATATGACCAAGGACTTTTTGCAGCAGAAACGCTTCCAGGCGCAATCGAATGGCACCACCTATGTCTACGATGTGCCCGATATGTTCCGCCAGATGACTGAACGTCATTGGAGAGAGTTCTCCAAAGCACGACCCACTGTCGACATACGCACACCCGATAAGATATTGCTAGAGTGCAAAGAGCTGGTCCTGGAGAACGATACTCTAGTTGAGCTACAGCGTCTACCAGGCGAGAATAATGTGAGTTAACTAGTAGGAATAGTATACATTTATACATAATTGACTAATCTATATATTTGTGTGCAGTGTGGCATGGTTGCTTGGCGCATTGTGCTGGCCACGCCCGAGTATCCAGCTGGTCGCGAAATTATAGTGATTGCCAACGATTTAACCTATCTGATTGGCTCCTTTGGCATCAAGGAGGACGTGCTCTTTGCCAAGGCGTCGCAACTGGCGCGACAACTCAAAGTGCCTCGAGTAAGTATCTTCATTTGAATCTCAATTGTATATTTTTTTAATATCAAATCATTTTCCTGCAGATATATATTTCGGTTAACAGTGGCGCTCGCATTGGCCTCGCTGAGGAGGTAAAAGCCATGTTCAAAATCGCATGGGAAGATCCAGAGGAACCGGACAAGGGCTTCAAATATCTATACCTGTCCACTGAGGATTATGCCAAGGTAGCGAATCTTAATTCGGTGCGTGCGATACTCATCGAAGATGAAGGCGAACAGCGCTACAAGATTACGGATATCATTGGCAAAGATGACGGTCTGGGCGTTGAGAATTTACGCTACGCAGGTTTGATTGCGGGTGAAACATCTCAGGCGTATGAGGAAATCGTAACCATTGCCATGGTCACTTGCCGCACCATCGGCATTGGCTCATATGTCGTCCGTCTTGGCCAGCGTGTCATACAGATTGATAATTCGCATATTATTCTCACGGGCTATGCTGCTTTGAATAAGGTAGGTTCTAGGCGTATATCTTAGCTAAGATCCAAAACTTATACTCCCTTTTGTATTGTAGTTGCTTGGTCGCAAGGTCTATGCCTCCAATAATCAGCTTGGTGGCGTCCAGATTATGTTCAATAATGGTGTCACCCACAAAACGGAAGCCATCGATCTGGATGGTGTTTACACAATACTCGACTGGCTCTCTTACATTCCCGCTTATATTGGCTGCGATCTGCCCATTATTTTGCCCAGTGATCGCATTGATCGTCCCGTCGATTTTATGCCCACCAAATCGCCTTATGATCCACGCTGGATGCTTGCAGGCCGTGTGAATCCCTCCAATGCCAATGAATGGGAGAATGGTTTCTTCGATCGTGATTCATGGAGTGAAATTATGGCTCCCTGGGCCAAGACCGTGGTCACGGGTCGTGCCCGTTTAGGTGGTGTGCCAGTTGGCGTTATAGCTGTGGAGACGCGCACTGTGGAGGTGGAAATGCCTGCGGATCCCGCAAATTTGGATTCGGAAGCCAAGACACTGCAGCAAGCTGGCCAAGTTTGGTATCCCGATTCATCGTACAAGACAGCGCAGGCAATCAAAGATTTCGGACGCGAAGAGCTGCCATTGATTGTGTTTGCCAACTGGCGTGGCTTCTCCGGCGGAATGAAAGACATGTATGAGCAAATTGTCAAATTTGGTGCCTACATTGTCGATGGACTGCGAGAGTACAAAAAGCCAGTGCTCATCTATTTGCCACCCAATGCTGAGCTGCGTGGAGGTGCCTGGGCTGTGCTTGATTCTTTAATCAATCCGCGTTACATGGAAACCTATGCGGATCCAGAGGCACGCGGCGGAGTGCTTGAACCGGAGGGTATTGTCGAGATCAAGTACAAAGAGAAAGATCTGATCAAGACAATACATCGCCTAGATGGCACCACCATTGGGGTGAGGCAGACAAAATATATATAAAATCTTTACAGTTTGCTAATTCGAAATTTGATCTTTACAGCTGAAACGCGAACACGACGAGGCCATCGCCGCTGGCGATAAAGTCAAAGCAGCACAGCTGGATGAGAAGATTAAGGCCCGCATTGCAGTTCTCATGCATGTGTATCACACTGTTGCCGTACACTTTGCCGATCTTCACGATACGCCTGAGCGCATGCTGGAAAAGGAATGCATAAGCGAAATTGTGCCTTGGCGTGATTCGCGTCGCTGGCTCTACTGGCGTCTACGTCGACTGCTGCTCGAAGATGCGTATATCAAGAAGATCTTGCGTGCACAAGACAACCTCTCGGTTGGTCAAGCCAAGCAGATGCTGCGTCGCTGGCTAGTCGAGGAAAAGGGCGCCACTGAGGTAAATTTAAATGACCATTATCCACTACATATATAAATATTAATAAGTATCTCTGCAGGCCTATTTGTGGGACAAAAATGAGGAAATGGTTAGCTGGTATCAGGAACAAACAAATGCCGAATCGATTGTATCCAAAAATGTTAACTCTGTGAAGAGGGATGCCATTATCTCCACAATATCGAAAATGCTAGAGGTAGCCTATTTAAATGATAGTCTTTTTTGTTTATATATTAATATTTATATATTTTCTTTGTCAGGACTGTCCGGATGTGGCCCTGGATGCTGTCGTTGGTCTCTGTCAAGGATTGACGCCCGTGAATCGTGGCGTTGTTGTACGCACGTTAGCGCAAATGCAGCTGAATGAGGAGTCCTCGGCGAATACCCAAGGATGACTTTACTTTCATTTTTAAGTTAAGGCGAGCATCGAGAGTCTCCATTTCAAACTTTGGTATACGGATGTTTTTAATGCACAATTTCGGAGGAGTGTTTCGTTTATTTTTTATAGGATTTGCTTACCAGCAAATTGTTTTGCATTTTGTTTAGTTAAATTTTTTTCTGTACATTTAATTAGTCTATTTTATTAGTTACTACTAATTTAGTTAACTTCAAATGTTCATTTTTGGAATTTTAGGCCGTGGGTAACACAAGTTACGAAAGGGACCCTCAACATTTAAATTTTCTAGTTATTCTTATCAAATATATACGTATATATAAACGACTTTATATATATATATATAGGTAAACTGCTCTATATATATACAATTGTTTTTGTATTTGTATTGTATACAAAAGCAAAACTTTCCGCTAGTTGTCTAAGAGTTAAAATTGTATACCATATATATATGTATACACATTCAAATATATATATATATATATGTGTGCAGAAATATTTTGTGAATTATACGAATAGAAAAATACCATTGTGAATATATGTATGTACATGTTTCATATATAAATTGAATTTATATTTTTACGATTTTTCTCTTACTGTTGTTTTTGTTTTTGAGTGCACTGATTCATGGAATCATATGCTATTTATTTCTTAAATTCAAAATGAAATTTTACATGTGGAACTCCAAAGGCAAGTATAAATTAAATTATAAAAAACTGCCAGATTGGGATGAGAACCCCAGTAGATTTTTCAAATGATGCTAATCTCCGTTTTATTCAGTTCTGTTGATCCAGCCATTCGGGTTCGGCCACACCTATTTTCTCAATAATGGAATTTACTTGATAACATAGCGATTGGATTTGACGATCCCATTGGGGCAACAGTTCACGGTTCTCGAAGTGCACAATTCCTGAAATTTGATCAATGTGCCCATTCATGCGTCCCTCCGTAATCATCTGTGAAGCAATTTTTTCTGCCTTGGCAGCAGGTATATCCAACAGAGCACCCAATTCCTCGAATGTTATGTTGTTATACAATTTGCTGGCGGACAACAAATTGTGCTCAAAGACCGCACGATCCAATATGGACGAGCCATCCGGAGTGGCGGCTTTCTGATGATCTTGCAACAAAGCCTCGAATTCCTGTAGCTCCGAGCGTCTTATAATGCGCTCCAAATACATTTTCTCCAGTATGCCATAGGCGGGTAAATGCTGGCAGCGTTCGTCCTTGAAGAGTGTAGCCAACATTCTAGAACGTTGTTGTCCAGCCGAGGCTAGAACTGTGCAGATTAGAGCCTTCTTCAAGGCAGTCATTCGCTCGCCTTGATCCACGATTTTGCGATAGGAGAGTTCGTTGTAACGCTGAGCAGCCTCTATGAATTTGCGACGATAATCAAGAACGCGGGCGTAGCAAACTTTGTAAAGGACCTAAGGTACAGTTAATTGATAACATTAATACGAAGATGAAGATGATTTTGCGAATGTCACCTGCAACTCTTCGGAGTTTGTTTCGGCTTGCAGTAGAGAGGCTCGATTGATGAAAAGTTCGGCCTGCACCGAATCGTTGTCCTCCAGATAGAGACGTGCGATTTTCAAATATGTGCCCAACTTGCATTCCACAGAATATTGTTTCTGACCCGTCTCCAAAGGTATGCCAACCAGAACGGTCGCTGCATCTCGCCATTGTTGATTGCGCTCGTAGATGTTGGCTAGATGGAAACGTATGCCGGCCACTTGCTCCTCGAATGAGATGACGCGGGGATGAACCTTCTCGAGGGTAAAGTGGGACAGCTGCTTCGACATGTCGTCCGGCAGTTTACTTAGCTCGACACCCACATCGTTGAGGATCTGGCGCGCAATGACCAAGCTAACATGCTCATTGACAATGGCCTCAACAAAGAGTTTTAGTGTATCGATCAATTCGGGGCCGGTGTTTGCGAGTACGTTTTTTAGCAGCTGGCGGTACTTGTCCGCCTGGTCTTTGTGTGTCCCAATAAAGTTGGTCAAGCCCATTAGCTGGGTACGCAGCACCGCTGTAGGTATGCCCATTATCCAGGATAACTCAACTCTGACTTTGATTCAACAGCACTAAGAAAGCAGACGAAACTAATAAATATTATCGATAAGGAGGTAGAGTGCTAAACAACGCTCGAGTTGGAAATGTACCGAAAACTAGTATTTATTTAATTTCAAAATTGTACACCTAAACTTTTGAATGAAAATATGAATATATTTATATCTTATATTTAAATTTATAATTAATATTAACTTTACACATTAAGTAAACAAATATATTTTAGTATATTTATGTACAATAGTTAGACATGTTGGTACATAATAATTGAAATATGTGGCAACTCTAGCAACTGCAGACGATTACAGATGAAAGACCTATCGATTATTAAAATATATAAACATAGCGGCTCTAAAATTCGCCATCCGAGAATTGAGGCATGGATTAGCTTGTTGAACATGGCAGATGATGATGATGATGGCTACAGCATAGAGGCAAATCCAACAGAATTAAGTGGTAATTGTTCCATACGCAAACGTAGAAGAGATCCCCACAGCTACAATGTATCGGCTAATCTGCCGACGCGATCACGAGGCTCATGTGGAAACTCAAAGCAAGAGTCACAATTGGAAGAATGGGAATTGCGTGAATACCGAATTTTTGAGGCAGATCGGTTGGACTGCCTGCGTGCACAGCAAGAGCCAGTGCGAGTGCGTCTTATACCAGCATCACAAAATTTTACTTCGTTGCAATCCATGTTGGAACAAGATGATGTAGAAAACACAGATAAAGTCGAGCCAGAGGTAGATGCAACAGATTCAGAGAACATTGTACAGCTAATACTGAGGGATTTCTGTTCGTCACCCACATACACGGAGGACGACGAGGAACTGTTACTAGAAGATTATTCGCCCTGGTTTCGTTTTCGTAACAAAAAAATCAAAACCTTTGGAAAGACACGATCCGAAATTAGTGGACCAGCAGCCAGAGCTGATATTGAGGACTGCTTGAGCTGCTCTTCCTCGGAACTGTCTGTGCAAGAGGATTACAACCCCCAAGTGCCCACAAGGACCAATTGCGTCTTCGATGTGAATAGCTCACAGAAGATCTGTGAGAATTTGCAGAATTTGAGTGCGTTCTTCAACACTCAAGGCAATGCAAATAAATCGATTAATCTACCCGATATGCAAATGGAATTGAAGAATTCTACAGTATTGGAAGCGAAAGACTACGAGGACGACGAACCAACAGGTATTCTGGAAGACAATGGTTACTTTATTGGCAGCACCGAGCAATGTAAATATCTTGATGACAACTGTGATAGTAAAATAATAGGTAAGACTTATTAACAATAGGTATACAATGAGTAAGGAGTTTTAAATTTACCGGGCAACGTAAATTCGATTGTCGATTATTATTCTAGCGATTCGAAAATCGAACCGCAAATTTTAAACCTGAACTTATTGAAAATGTGCCGCATATATAAATACTCAATTTTTTTTTTTCTTCTTACAGATAATGCTGATTTTTCACTATTTAGATATGAAAATGTACAAACAGTTGAGAAATTACGAGGTACTTTCCAAATCGATAATTACATATACAATATATTTTTAAAAACTTAATTATATCAATCCTTTAGATACCCACTTATGTGATGATAAGAAAGTATATTCTGTAAAGACTCAGTTGGAGGAAGCTAAGGGCTCTTCAGAGATTGAATTGCTTGAGGAAATAGCCTTAAGTGAGTGGCAGCCCATGGATATAGAGAAGCTCAGCACAGACGAGCAACAAGGAAGGACTTGCAATCAGGAGATGGAGATGCAGGTGAATGCATTCAGTGAGTGGGATCCTGTAGAGCGAACAGGCAAACCAATGAAAATTCAAAAGGCACAGGCAAAGGCAGAAACTGGCTACTTCCAAGAGATAAGTAAAGTAGTAGAAGCTAGATATCCTACTGATAATTCAGCAAGCATTCAATTTCGCACTGCATCGAATAAGGCAATGAAATTAACAGAGGCAATGAAAACAAAAGCAGCTATGCTGATGGCTGATTTGGAAATAGTTGTCGACGATCAAGCGGGGGATGATATAACAATCAAAAACATGCAAAAAATAGAACATGCGTCAGCCTCGAGGAGAGATGAAGTAGCTACAGACTGTGATTTGCTTGCGGGGATTCCCTTTAGTGAATGGCAGCCAATGGATATACCAGACAGCAAACGGGATGAGCTCGACGTTAGTAATCAATTGGAGATAATACCATTTAGCGAATGGCAGCCCATAGATATACCAGATGCTAGACAGCAACCAAAAGAAGTGACTAGCCGTGCACAGCATAAGACAGAGTATAAACAAAATGAACTTTTTGAAAATATTGAATTTCGTACTGCTTCGAATAGAGCTCTTACATTAACCAAGGAGATGAGACAGAAGGCAGCGATGCTGATGGCTGATTTGGAAACTGTGAATGCGGATCCACATGAATCAATCGAGATTCATCAAAAGGTTGAGGCTAGCTGCTCCCAAACAACAATAGAAATTGCTAATGATCATTTGCGGGCTGAAATTTTAAATCCAGTCGAGTTTCATACAGCTTCAAATAAGGTTCTGAAATTAACAAACGAAATGAGGCAGAAGGCTGCTATGCTAATGTCTGATTTGGAAGCTGTTAATGCGAATCCCCCAGTAGCAACAGAAGACTTGTTAAATAGAATTGAAGTGAAGGAAAACACGATGACGACTAAAGCTAAAGATAGTTGTTCTCAGTTAATAAGAGAAGATGATGAAAATGCTCAACCAAATATATCTGAATGTATTGAATTTCACACTGCTTCGAACAAGGTGCTCAAATTAACGAAAGAGATGAGGCAGAAGGCTGCTATGCTAATGGCAGATTTGGAAGTCAATCAACCACTGACAACAAAGGAGTGGTTTGATGAAGACTGCACAGCAAAAGGCAAGTCAGTAGCCACCAACCTCAGCAAAACTAGCCAAAGAGGGCTTAAGGAAAGAGGAAAGCCTAAGCTAACAATTGAAACTATCGATGGAATCTACCCGCTTGACATAGAACCAGAGAAAGGCATTGGCTTGAATACAGCTTTCCCACTAGAACATAATCAACATTCACAAGATCTCATATTCGAGACACCCAAAGGCACAACAGAGCTCCAATGTTCTTTAACACAGCTCTCGGAGCGTTCGCCTCTGGACAGCGATACAAAGAGTTCGATAATAACACGACGTAATCTCTTATCCCTCAATAAAAGACGGAAGCAAAAGCGGAAATCAGAGAATTGCAATGATGATGCCGGTCATACGCCGATTAGAAGATTTGCTTCACTGGCTGCAGCGACAAGCACGCCAATGCCAAGCCACAAGGAAAACAATGTAAAAGAGGATGAAGAAAACCCTCCACCCTCTATGAGGGAGCGCAGCTGCTCGCAAGATTCGCCACGCCTCGAAAGAAAGCGAATTTGTAAGCGTAAAAGTGAAGATGCGCTCTCGCCCATCTATGCGCCCACTCACAAAACTAGGCGACTTGGCTTAAGTCGCATTCGCAACAAATCAACACAAGAAATTTGATTATAAATACGCGCCCAAAAAATTAGTCAAAGTAGTTATACACAAATTTTGCAGTTCTGGCAGTAAGATTTTTAAGTGCATTGCCATGCCGCACGTTTACCAACACTACCATATGTGATTTCCAGTCGCTCATTCCAATTCCAATTGGTAAGAAAATAAATAGTGTTAATCTGTCTTAATAAACACAGCTTTGAAACTGAGATAAAATATAAATCAAATGTAAAAAGCAGAAACAGCACACCAGTGAATAATAATACTTCAATTAAACAAGATAAATTTAGTTATAGTTGTCGCAGGTAGCAAAAAACATAGCTAATGCACTTTGTTTACGTCCCCACTGCATAATTTCCATTGGAAGGGACCCAAATACAGAAAGCAAAACAATCAAATATGCAAGTGACTTCATTATTTTATTTTGTAAAAAATCCATATGTCAATTGACCTAAAATTTACTAATATAATATACGTTTGTGTTTTAATAGACTTTTAATTAGTTTAGCTTAGCTAATCCCGCAGATGCTCGCAACTATATGTTTGCGTGAAAGTCCAATCACCTACACTTGTTACACAAACAAACAAACATATGCGTGCGTGAGGCTGTGCGTGTGTGTGTGTATGTATAATCAAATATGTGATTTCCTTATACTATTAATTACATTTAAAGCTTTGTGCTTATATTTGTAATCTTTAATTCATAGGCGTTTCTGTCCAAGGTCGATTGTGTGTATTGGAAGCAAAGCTTGGATGAGAACAGTTCTATTTCTATTGCTGTGGCATACTAACACATGCATAGAGTACTTGCAGTACTTGTTTGTGTGTCACACAGAGAGGCACATAGGCAATGCTTCAAATTATTGTTTAGGCTATTTAAGATGATGGCGTATTAATGCGGCTCTCTCGCTCTAAATTCAAGCAACTACTTTATCAGAAATACTAACGACATATACAGTGAAAACACATTATATTGAAAAGGCACATGAAAATATGCCAATTTTTAATAGATACTAATATTTTTTTTAATTTTAATCATTTTTAGAAACCTGACAAAGTTATAATATATGCACCATACAAATATATATTTTTCAACGAAATAATAATTTTTTTATAATTAAATAATAATTATAAATTTAATTATGTTATTATATATTATGTTTATTTGTCTTTTCGTATATGAGAAATAGTTTGAGATCTTATCTTTACAAGAAAAAAACTAAATTAAAAATGGCTTTTTCCATCAACATATTCAAAAAATTAACATTTAGAAATAAAATTTACTATCAAAATTTCTACTCCCGTTTCATATAAAAATAAATTTAAAATTTATATAAAATTGCATGTTTTAAACATAGTTTAAAAGCTTGAAAGAACGAAAACATAAGATAACTTTAAGGCATTTCAACCATAGAGCAGTTCATCAACTGCGATTTTTACCGTATGCAGCTATGTATATATGTATATATATATACGTATATATATAATTTTTAGTACTATATGTGTACTTTTTTTGGCTGGGAGCTCTATTATCTGAGAGTTACGTTCCAGCTCTAATCATTTATTAGCAGTGTTGTTTCGCTTGCAAAAACAGCAACGACCACAAAACAAACCGAAGAGAGAGAAAAAAAAGAATATAAAAATTCGTTTCAGTTGAGTACATTTCAAACAATATTTGATATTGTTGCCAGTTGTATATTGTTGTTACGCTTTGTAGTTTGCCACGTCAGTCCAAAATTGTTAATAATAGTGCATAATATAACGTTATATACTCTTATAGGGATTATTATTGATTGTCCCCATTTATAAACAAATCGCCAATTTTTTATATTTATTATTGCAGAAGCATCGCCAAACAAGAGAATTTCCAATTATGGCAGACGAGTTCGATGGCTGCGAATGCATCTCGACGCATGAATTGGCGATGCAAAGGCTTATCAATTTTGTAAGTAGACGAGCTAACTGTGCACAATATATGTAAATGAATTTAATTTACATACATATTTATTATCAACAGATACGTCAGAATCAGAATGCTTGTACGGATACCGAGTGCATAGATGGTAAATTGAATTGGTTTCAATTTTCATAAACTTCCCCTTAATATATTTTCTTTTTCATATTGCGCAGTTAGTGGACGCGTTTTGCAACCGGGTCAGGCGCTGACTGGCAGCGACTCTGGTAACAGTTTTACCATAGCCATGGTATTTATGCTATTGGCCATGTTCATGTATATCGTGAACCCAAGCACTTGGCGTCAATTGACCAACAATAAGCCAAGTCGTCGGGATAACAATCCAGACGGAGCGCCGCCGCCGCAGCCCCCGGCCATCAATTAGGCGTGGAACGTTGCATAAACAAATGAGAGCTTGCATTTTAATTTTCCTTTTGTTGAACCAAACTACACAGAGGATTACATACATAAATGTATATGTACATACAATACATACATATACACACAGGCGAAATCTGCCAGCATATGTACAGACACATATATAACTGATATATATATATATATGTATCTATAGTGGAAGACAAGAAAAGTAACAATAAAAAAATGCAGTGAAATCAAAATGTGAATATTGAAGTTATATATGTTATATGTTCCATATGTATGTTATGTCCGTCTTTGTGTGTGTCATTAAACTAGTTTAATCTCTTTCTTTCTACAACCGTCTATCGCCATAGTCGACCATATAAATATATCTTGAATTTTCAGTGCAATTTATAAGTGGTAAATAAATTTGGTCAGCACCTAAAAATAATTGTGCAAAAACAGTTGAAAGATATTATTTTTATATGGTTAGTACTTATTCTATTTAAAAGCCACGTCTGACAATTTGTATCTATAAGTATAAAATGCTTGTTTATTGCTTAATCCTCATCATTTTGCAGCTCCTCCATTTTGCGCCGCACATTCTTGAGCACATCTTTCATTTGCTCATATTTGCCCGTCGAATCGGGCAGATTCTCGAAGTTAATAACATCGCTGACGCCCACCTTAAAGTTATCGCCCACGGGTAGTTTGTCGTATATGGAAAACTTTAATATGGGCGTGCCGGCTATGGATGGCGCTTTGAAGATCTGGATTTGACTAGGAGCGGTCTTGGTATGGGTGTCCTCGGAGCCTTTGTCTTCAACTTCTTGAGGCACCTTTGTCTCCGACTTATTCGTATTGAGTGAGGTATTCGTTTCCAACTGCTGCAATAGCACGGCCTGCTGGGCTTGCAAGTCGTCCAACGTGGGCGACACACTACGTTTGCTTGGCTCATCCTTAACCGCCGACACAGTTTGGCTGGTGTCTGCAGAGGGCGAAGCTGGCTGCTCTTTCAACTGCTGCACCTCATCGTCGTCATCATCTATATCCATATCGTGTTCGACAAGATTTGTATCATTCTCATGTGCTTCAGGACTAGCATCATGTGGCGCTGGCAAATCTATCAATTTCTTGCGTTTATAGCCTTTCGTCACATTTTCGCCCAGCGACTTGATAAAGTTTTCCTTCAGCTGATGCTGCTGCAAGCGTGGTACGTTGTGGTGCTGGAAATCCTGAAGAGAAGACATTTGTTTAGAGCTCTGCAATGTACATGTATGTACACATTATTACATCATAGAACTTGCCACCTGGATCTACATTGAAACCAGGAAATTCAACTATTTTATTAACGTCATATTTAAAGCTTTCCGATTCGCCATCCTCCTGCTCAGGTGCCTGCACCTCGCTGCCCTGCAAAAGTTGATAATGGAATTTATGCATATGTAGAATCATATTTAAGCTCTCACTTACATCCGAATTGAAGAGCGTTATACCAGAGCTTTGAACCTTCGCCTCCTCCAGCCAAGCAGGAGGGTAGCCCAGCACACGCATGCGATAGAACATGAATGGTAACTCTCCTCGGCCAAAGCCCATGGCATGGCGCGTCTTACTGCTAATCCTGCCAGGTCGAATGTGCGCGAAGCGTTGTTCCGTATCCACGTGATACCGCTCCACTTTCTTCTTGCGTGCACGCTGTATACGCGCCTGATTGCGCGGCCGTGTGCACTCACGCAGCGAATGATCTGTGTCACCACAATTGAAGCAAGCGGATTGTGACTTAGGCCGGAAACATTTGTTAACTGCATCCAGTTTCTGTTTTTTACGTGCAGACGTCTCCTCATCGAGTACCTCAGCGCTGCAGCGCTTGTATGAAGGCACTTGGGCAGCATTGAGCTTCGACGTCGGCGACGTATCTATCATGAAGAGATCAGTATCCAGTGCTGGAGATTCCGATCGGGCATGCACGTTAATTTTGTGTTCCGTCGTTTTGTACACGAATTTCTCCTTGGCAAAAGTCGACTCCAGAGCTTGGAGCAGACGCTCTTGCAACTTATCGTAGTTTTCCACATTTTGAAATCTTACTTCGAACACTAGGTCCGCTTCAGTTGCATTTGAGTTCTGCTGAATACGTTTACATTATCATTTATTAAATTAGCATTTTAACAATTTGTTTTGTTACTCTCTTTCGCTCTGCTGTACCTTGTGATTCGTCGTTTCGTTTGGCTCTTCAATTGGGGGTTGCTGCAAATTGGCGGCACTGTTTGTCTTTTCTGTAGAGATTTCCAGCACTTCGCCATCTTCCACATCAGCATCGCTGTCAATTGTTATGATTGAATCGTTAATTTCTATAACGCTTTGGTCCATTTCTCTTTTAAATAAATAAATAGCCGATTACTATTATTTTTGCCGTTCATGAATACTAGTTCATGGTTCCAGGGAGAGGTACACACAAAATGGATATTTTGTGTAAGTATTTTTCAAGTAACCAGTCACGAGATGTAACGAACATTTCAAATCATCGAGTTACAAATTTGTAAATTCATAAACTTTGTTGAACAAGGGTAAACAAGTAAAGTATGTTTAAAATATATTTATATAAATATATTATTATTAATATATAAATAACCATATAAAGATTTAATTTAAATCAGTAGATTTTCAAAATATTCTGCGAAAACTTGAGTTCATGTTAACTTAGCAGCTAACGGCACTTTTGCAGCAGTACCTTATGAGTAACTGTTATTAACATTTTGACGATTTTTATTTGACATTCGAAAAGCGAAACTAATTGAGAAGCTAAAAAATATATATATAACAATATAAATAGTCATGTAAGTAGTTAGCGTGAGCAAATGATAAATATGACTTGTAGCCTATTTTATTTTCAGATTTTACATCATAAGAAAATTGGTGGAAATGTCTTCCTCGCGAAATAAGTTTCAAGCTTCCAATTTGGCGCCTTTTCCAGACAAGGCAAAGCAGAAGCCGGGTTCAGATTTCTATATGAAGTGTCCTTATGACGATAGCCATTGTCTGCTGCCCAGCCGCTTCGCGTGGCACCTGACACGCTGTGCACGCAATCATACCAACAGTGGAATAATACGCTGCCCCTTTAATGACACCCATTTGCTGCAGCGTTACGAAATGCCGGTAAGTAAATATAGCTGATAAATTAATAGTAAATACGTTTTGAATATATTTTACCAGGAGCATGTGCTGAATTGCCCAAACCGTCGCGATTTTGTGCGATTTCTGCAGCCCGATGCATTGCCGCCTGAAGAGCCTCGCCCGTCCACAGTCGACTTGGTAGAGTCCTCCGAGAACTGGGATGATGAACCCCCGGCGGCTACCTACGATCCAAAAGAGTATTGTGAGAAGAATCTAATTATACGTCAATTAGTTGGTGCCATGCGACGCACATTTCGCGAACTCGAGCGCAATCGCTTCCAACAAATTATGCAAGGCAAGAAATAATACATACATATATAGTTCAGAACTACACATGTATATAGTTATGCATAGACATGATTTTATTTAATGCGAATTTTCCTCGCCAATTCTTAAAATTTGGCGGACATTTTGATTTCACGACTCATTGTGAACAGTGTTGAAAAGCGCTCACTCGTTTGCAGTACTGCAAAACGTGATGAGTACTTCGTTAATAATTTGAATGAAAACATAGAAGTTAAGTTTTTCTGCTAAAGGAGTTGTTCAAACATACACATTAATTTTGAAGTATACGTTATAATTATAAAAACTAAAATTAAATATGTAAATACATATATAGATATACATTTACCTTTAAGAAGCATGCGATTGCTCACCCGGCGACATGAAAGTATGTAAGACAAAATGTATTTGACTTCCGCAATTGTTAAGTAAAACATACAGAAATTTATTCAAATCATGCGAAATGCAAAGCAAGTGCTCTTTTGGATTGTATAAACCATATACATGTATCTATATTATAAAAAGAGCTGAAGACGTCATTTCTCTGATTGAGAATCTAGAGAAGCGTCCGACTGAATGCCAACTGAATAATGTCGCATTATCATTATTAATTCAACTTACAACTGGGGAATTCTCAGCAGCAACAACAACAGTACTAGGAGTTTCGAGCGATAAACGAGAATTTGAATAAGAGTGAAGAGCGCAGAGCGAAGAAGAGGCGACGATTCGTGAATGCCAATTAAGCTTTTCATGCTGACTATTGCTCAACCATAAATAGTCCAACATCAAGTTAGACGACTTCATACATAGTTAACTATGCAACTGCTCAGGTGCCAACTGCTGCTCCTGCTGGTCATTGCAGCCTGTGCGCTGGCCACGCCCACACTTGACCAAATCAAGGGAAAAGCAACGCTTCTGCAGCAGAAACTTCTGAATCTGCCAGATCCAGCGCAACTTTTAAGCCAACTGCCCGCCAAGTTCATCAAGACCAAGCCGGTGTTTGTGAAGCCCGTCGTCGTGAAGCCCATTGTCGTAGTTAAGCCGATAGTTGTTGGCGGAGGCGGAGGCGGCCATGGTCATGGACATGGGTACGGACATCATGGAAAAAATAAGTTTTTTGGCAAATTCAAGTAGAAGTTGAGAACTCGAAAAAGAATCAAACGATATTTTAAGAATGTGTAAATAAATTTACATTGTAAAAGCTTTATAAAAAATTAAAAGATAATAAAATAAGTGTAATTTTACAATTAAGAAAAATCTGAGTTTTGTTATAAAGTAAAGTCTTACAAAATATGAAGATTAAGTGATTTGCTCAAGTTAGGAAGTTAAGAAAATATTTAAATATTTATAGTAAAATTAAAAAATAATTAAAATAACGTATTTAAAAGCATTAAATTTTTATACCATGTAGTATTTAAGCACTAGGCCTAATAATACGTGATAAAGCTCGAAACTGTTTCTGTTAGGTCTAATTTTCTTATGATATTCTCCATCCACACAAGGGACTTCGTATGAGTACTTAAATGTACTGTTAGTCTGCTCTAAGAACCCATAAATTGATAGCTAGATGTATGTATATACAAATATACAAAATATATGTATGTATATACAAATAGTTTTTATATAAACATAAATTATTATAAGCTCGTTTACTAATGCATCATTTGACTTTGAATATTTAGCTTGTTTCCCGCTAAGCTGCGCAACTCTGGCTATGGCTCTGCCTTTGCCTTCGACAACCCGCTGTTTGGGAAAGTGAAAGGCTTTCGCCTTTCGCATCTGGCATGCTCAATAAGCGCATATCGATGTGCATAATGAATCGTCCTTGCTAGACATTTGGCTAATGACAGCCTTTGTTGAACAAATTGCACTTCCCAAGATGAAGATGAATTCAATGGATGGAATAGAATTATTGGACATGCACATTAAAACACAGCAGCAACAAGTGATAAGAGACAGCGCGCGCGCATTCTAATCAACGTAACACATAATCATAATCATAAACCCACTCAAATGCTCACATATATCTCCTCTATCTAATTTATACAGTTGTCTTGAGGGGCGCCTTTGTAATCAGCAGCAGCAGCAGCATCCGCAGCAGCCACCGCCGCCGCCGCCGCGTATTATGCAAAAGAAGACCGCAACAACCGCCCAGAGTCGAAGGCAACCCCCCTGTTTCGGTTAGCATATATAAGCCGCCTGGCCAGAAGTTTCGCAAACATTTTGGCACAGTTTGCAGAACTCAGCGCAGTTTTTAACCACAGTCAACAGTTACAGACAGTTACAAAAAAAAGTCATACAAAATGGTAAGTACATTTAAGATCTGTTTAAGCCACATTAAAATGAAATAAAACTTAGCTAAGCACAAAGTTATTTTTAGACAAACGGCTAGAAAACGGGTTTGAAAGCTGATCTATAATTGCAATCAAAGTGGAAACAGAAAATGAACAAATAAAAAATAAAAAAATTGTTAAAGTGCTTAAGATACATACATATGTTAGCTATAGTAGATATAATAGTCGTTGGTAGGCTGCGCGGTAAGAAATCCATCTGATTCAATTGAGAAACTTATTTTGAAAGCATGGCAGCCTAGCTTGCATATGTAGTCACATATTATAGATATATCTCTATATATAACGACAGCAAATTTTATGATTATTAATGGCAGTTGCTTATATATACTATTTGTTTAATGCATATTTCATTTGAGCTCTGCTATATTTATGCAATGGCCACTAAATGCCACTAACTAACTAACTAAAAATGTGGCTTTTTCTTAAATGGCAGCAGTTATATCTGGTTCCAAATGTGCCTTAAGTGCCCAAGCACGATACAAAAACAGATACAAATGCAGATACAGATACAGCGAGAGATACTCTCTATGGCGGGTGACCTTTGCTGAGGTCTGTCTACCTCCCACTCTCCTACTCTCTCTCTCTCTATTTCCCTTTCTTTCACTCGCTCATTTTAAGAAAGCTTGTGACTTGTGCTTGACATTTTCAACAACTAAGTTTTATAATTTGCGTGTGCGACGCTCATTTAGCTTAGCTTAGTCTGCCTGTCTGTCTATCTGTCTATCCATACAGACATATATTTATGAAAATGGCCATATTGGCTGTCAGTAAACCCAACCAACACCCCCAAAAGCCGCAACTACAACGCGAGTGCAATACGATTAGCTAATCAATTGAAATCAGCGTTGTTATAAGACGCAAATGTCTTGAACTTACATCAAATTATAAATATATATTTACTGCCTGGCTTTTGCCACATTTGACGATCAGACAACGCGTCTGCCAGTTACACAGTTTCTCAGCTTAAACACAAACATCTATTGAATCATACTTGTGCCACATTACAAGTTTGTTGACACGCTGACGTATACGTAATCTCTCTCGCTCTCTCTCTCTCTCCCTCTCTCTCACTAACTATATCTGCCTGCATATACAGTATTTACATGTATTACTAAATATATATACATACACATATGTATGTATGTATGTGTATTTGTATAAAGCGCAGCTCAAAGCGCAGTCGTAAATCTAATTGTAGGTAGGCGTTTAATTTATATATATATATATATATATATATATTTATATATAGCTAGGCTTTGCCGTTGGTTACGTTTATATTTAAGTCCGGGGTTGTCTCCGTTGCCGCCCCTCAAAATAAAAACGGAAATGGGCAATAATATGCGACGCAGCTCAAGTTTTTATTTTTATTTTTCTTTACACATTTAAACATTTTACACGCTTTTACATGACAAGCCGACGTTGCGTCGAAAGGTGGAGGTGCTGCTTGCAAGAACTGACTGGAAAGACACTTCACACACACGCACGCATGTGTTTAATTTTTTAATATCCTATATAGCTAGTAGGGGGCATAAGTTAATGAGAGACGCTCATATACCCATTAAAATTCAAAACTATACTCAAAACGTACAAGTTATCGATAAAAATTTGTCTGCTTTACAACACTGTAAATGCATTTCAACAGCCTATAGCTAGGCAATTAGCAGAAAAATGCCTAATTTTAGCAAAAAATAATCTAAGCAGAAACATACTCTGCAGCATACTTATGGGAACCAAAAGTTATCGATAACTGAAGAAATAATTAAGGATGTTTGCAAAAATACCAAGCTTAGGGTTAAATGTGCAAATTTGCTTTAATTGTTGCTTGCGATTATTGCATGTATTTATTTATTTATATGTGGCTGAAAATTTGAAAACTAATGCAACTTTTTATTTGAATTTTAAGTCGCATACTGTAGTCGTGCATGATCGCTCGCAAACATTTCCTTGCTCATGTATGCTCGTGACGCGCTTTATTTTGGTGAGTGCGAGCGAATTACAGTTACATGCTTCAATTTCAATTTCAATTGGTGCATTAGTGTGCGTGTGTTCTGCCAGTGGCGCAACTGCGCAAGGGGCTTCGCTCCAGTAGTTCATTGCATTGATTTGTGGCCTTTGCCTGGCCAGGGTTGTCATGCCACTGTGTCAATGCATTGAACACATACACACGCACACAGTTATCAGTGAGTTTGGAAAGGGGGTGACGGTGGCTGTATTGGGGCCGCAGACAGACACTAAAACTCGAGCAACATATATGTATGTATGTATGTGCGGCTGTGTGCGTCTGTGTGTATCCGCACGATCGTCCATGTTCCAGTGCTCAGTGTTGTTCAGCGCTTGCTTTGCTCAGTCCCCCAACAGCCAGTTCAACATTTTGTCAATTCATTTTTTGCATTTAGTCTGCGTTCGTTCCTCATGCGGCTTGACAATTTTGCTTTCGACATAAAAGAAATGACAAAATAATAATATAAAAATTGAGAATATTTTAGTGTATTTTTTGACAACGCGCGTCGCCTTGGCATATAGCTAGATATAAGTATATAATATTATGTACTTTTGTCTATATGTGCCAACAATATTATTTGTTTTTGTGTGCATTGCAGATATATTTTGGTTACTTTCAAATATATATTTAACATATACATACTTATATATATAAGTGTGTGTGTATGTTTGTATATTTGTATGTATGGCACACAGTCAATTGTGAATTATCAGTGACAACGTGAGAATTGCGCGGCCCTTGGCCAGGGGCGACAGCTTCGATATACGCCGCGTATCAATTATGTGGAAATATATTTACAAAGATACATATGCATATGTATATCAGTCCGTTTCTGTGTGTGTGTGTTCGTGCGTGCATATGTAAAGCAATTTTGATGCCCTGGCACTGAATGTCACTAAACGCGCCAACCACTCGCATTGCGTGCGAATGTTACACACACGCTCAAGCAGTGTATCTGTGTGTGAGTGTGTGTCTGTGCCTGTGCATGTGAGAGCGAGAGAGCAGTGTCTCTACTTTGCGTGCGTACTTCTGTGGCTGTGTGCGTGTTTGTGTGCAGATCAGCAACAGCAGCAAACACAAACAAACAAACAACAATTCACATTCATTCATTGCGCGTCGGCTTCATTGTGAATGATAACGATTGTGATTACCGCCTCTAGCTATTATCGTCAGTTTTGCCACGCACCAAGAGAGAGCAGCAGCCAGTGAGAGTAAACGCGTGTGAAATTAGAAAAATACCAAAAGCAGAAAAGAACAAAATCAATTTAAATACCGTAGAAAGTGCGCAGAATTGTTGGTCTTTGATTCGTTTTTGTTTTGTGTCACGCCCATCTATGCCGCCTAGGCCGCATCAACGCAACGCACACAAAGATCTAACGAAAATCCATACAAAATGGCGATAAATTCAAGCGCCAGAGAAACGCACCAGCGTCAAGTTTAAAAAAGCAAACGTAAGATCAAAGATAACAAACAAAACAACAACAAAAAATACCAAAATTTTATGCAACAAAAGTTTGCCAAAAAGAGAACAGCCGATAGGCGGTGATAAACGTCAAACGCAGAACGCAAACGCGAAACGCGAACGAGAAACTCGCATCGAACACGAAACAAGCGCCTAAGGTAAGCGACCCTCTGATTCCGACTTAAGTTCCAATTCCGATTTCGATCTTTGCCTTCTTATATTGTTCGCATATTTGCATATTTGCATATTTGCTTAACAGTTTATTAACTTTTTATCGCACACACACACCCTTTTTTGCGCGGCATTTGCAAGTTCA